CCCCCCCAGGTATTTGCTGCCTTATTCCGGTAGTCTGCCTGCTTAGACCTGCCTCTCTGTCTTCCAGGGCTTCCCGGCCCTGCCACCCACCCACCCGGCTCTGCCCTGTCCCCTGCACTGCCCAGGCGATCCCCGTTGCACGTTGCAGAGGGCATCAGGCTCTGGCACCAGCGGGGCAGAGTGGCCGGCCTCAGCCCTGCTGCGGGTCTCACCAGGGGCACTCGTTTTCCACGTGCGCCACGCCCGTCTGGCTGGATCTGCCCACAAATGGGCCAGAGAGGGCGAAGAGAGACTGCTCTTCCGGCTTTAAGCGGGAAGCAGACCCCTCCCCTTCCTCCTGCCCCCCCCCCCGCCCCTGCTCACCCAACCCAGCAAGTCCTTTTTTTTTCCTTTTTTTTCTAACAATTTTATTTTTAGGATATATTCAACAAAGTCCAACATTTGTAAAAGGTAAAGGTTCCCTTGCTCGAAAGCCAGTCGAATCTGACTCTAGGGTTGCGGTGCTCATCTCCGTTTCAAAGCCGAAGAGCCAGCGCTGTCCGAAGACGTCTCCGTGGTCATGTGGCCGGCATGACTAAACACCAAGGCGCACGGAACGCTGTTACCTTCCCACCGAAGTGGTCCCTATTTATCTACTTGCAATTTCTTGCTTTGGAACTGCTAGGTTGGCATTTGTAGTACATTTGTAGTACACTTCTTATCCCTTTATATCCTACTCTCCTCCCTTTCCCCCCCGTGTATGGCTTCCCACAGTGCTACAACCTCCTTCATAATCCTTAGGTTACTCTTAAGTACTCCTCTTTATCTCTACATATTCAACAAGTAACTTGTTTTTTCACAATTTTCTATACTCAATAGTTATCAAAGCAAAATAAATTGTCTCTCACATCCCAATATTTTTCCAAGTAGTCTTTTAAATCTTTCCAGTCCTCAAAAAAGTCTTCTGCTGCCATATTATCCAATTTCCTTGTCATCTTATCCATTTCAACCATAAAAAGTAGTTTTTTAATCCATTCTCCAATTCCAGGAACTTCCTGTTTCCAACTTTGCGCATATATCATTCTGGCAGTCACAATCACGTACCACATAAGTGTCCTTTTCGCCACATTAACCTCTTCCATTTTGAGTCCCAAAAGTAATATTTCTGGCTCTTTTTTAAATTTGCAGTTAACTATTTTTTCCATCTCTGCATGAATCTCAACCCAGAACCTCTTTGCTTTTTCACAAGTCCACCACATATGGTAAAACGAGCCTTCTACTTTTTAACATTTCCAACATTTACTCGACATATTTGTATTCATATTTGCAATCTTTTTTGGAGTCATATACCATCTATACATCATCTTTTAACAGTTCTCTTTTAAATTGTTATTTTCAAGGCATTCCTTTATAAATATTCCCAAGATGACATAAGAATTTCTTTATTCATATTTCTTGCCCATTTTACCAACCCAACAAGTCCTGATGTGGCCGGGGGGGGGGCAGCGGATGAGCGAGAATGCCCCTGGCACAAGCGGCCACGCTGCCACTCCCGCCACTGGGCTGCTCGTGAGTGGTGCCGAGGCATCCAGCGGTCAAGCCAGATTGGGGGGGGGGTGTCCCCTCTGCATTCGGCCAAAAAACGCCAAAAATGCTCTTATAAGCCCCCCCCCCCCGGTTCTTCTTGGCGAGCTCCAGCAGCCCCATCTGGGACCTGTGGAAGAAGCCGGGGGGGGGTTGGGGGGGGGTCCCTGGCTGCCCTGCCCGCCCCGTCCTCTCAAGGCCCAGAGCTTGCCTGGGAGCCCTACATGTGGGCGAGAGGAGCCAGAGGCTTGGGCAGAGACCCGGCCGCTGCCTAGCCTTGGCACTGGGACTCCGAGCGAGTCGACACGGAGCAGGTTTGCTGCTTGGGGTGCACAGGTGGGCCCCTGCAAATATCTATTCATTTCTTCAGATGTTTCTACCCGCCTTTTCTGTGGGGGCCCAAAGCTGCCTGCAGGCGTATCTCCCCCTCCTTCATGGTTCCTCACAACAGCCCTGTGAGGTGGGTTAGGCTGAGAGAGGCGGGCCGGCCCCAGGTGACCCGCTGGGCGGCTTCCACGGGCAGAGTGGGGATTCCAACCTGGGCCTCCCTCCGGGACCCTCCTCTGACGCTCTGACCAAGAGGAGGGGAGCAGCGCTCCCTCTGAGCTGCGGAGTCTTCTGGTGAGCGGAAACCCCCCTTTGGGAGCTGCTGGCATACGGGAGTGGTGAGCGAGCGGATTTGGCTACTCCATAAGTCAGTTTGCTCTGGAGCCACCCTTCTGTGAGCCGGAGGCTAAAAAACTGTGGGCTGGCTCACACGTCACTCACCTCAGAGGGAGCACTGTCTGCCAATCCTCCCTCTGAGCCAGCCGTGGAGTCTTCTTGAGCGCAGAAATTCTACTTTGTGAGCCACGGGCATTAAAGCTGTGAGTGAGCGGTTTGGCTACTGCATAAATTGGCTTGCTCTGGAGCCCTCCTCCCTGAGCGGAGACAAAAACGTGTGAGCCAGAGGCTAAAAAACTGTGAGCGTAGAGGGAACAGTGGAGAGGCAGGATCCTTCCCTGGAGACGTCAGTGGGGTGAGCCTGGTGGTGGTGGTGGGTGGCCCCCTGCCCTGCCGCACTCGGTCGGGGCTAAGAAGAGACCCGATTCCTCCCCCCCGGGGGGGGGGCCCTCTGGCACCTGCGCTCTCGTTTCCAGGTGAGCCCTCAGGGGGCAGGGTCCCCCCACACCTCCTGCTCCACCGGGAACCGAGAGCTCTGGCCAGGCCTGCGGTGCCATCTTGAGCGTGTCGCGTGGGCCTCCCCTCCCGTCCGAGGACCCTGTTTCCTTCCGCCTCAGGGTGCCAGGCGCCAACATGCCTCTCACTTTCCATTGGCCTCACATCTGGCTGTGTGCCATCTTGCGCCGCTCTGCAGTCGTCGTCCCCCCCCCCCCGTGCCTGTCTCGCCAGTGGCCGGGCAGTGGCTCAGATGCCCTGCTCGCTTACGTAGTGGCGGCAGGTGTGATTGGCGGAGCAGTACTGGGCTGGGGGGGGGAGGCTCACACCCTGCAATTAGCTTCTAGCACCCGCGGAGTCACATGGGAAGCTGGGGGGGGAGGCTGCGTAGCCTTGGCCAGGAAGCCGGAGGTGTCGGGTGATGCTGAGAGTCACTCCGGATTGCCCTGTGAGTATTATGGGGAGGGGGCGCCCCCTGCTAGGTCCCATGGGTGCCTGAGCTCCAGGGGAGGGGCGCGGAAGAGGAGGAGGCGGCTGGGTGCGCAGGAGAAGTGGGGGGGAGGCTGGGCCTTCGAGGCAGAGGCTGCTGTGAGCGGGCGGGGGAGAGGGCACTTTAATCCGGGCAGCTGTGGTTGTTTCACCCACACACACAGACACAAACGCACACCAGATCTCGTGGGATGGGGGGAGGTGGAATTAGACCGGAGAGGAGAGTCGTGGGAGGGAAGCCAGTCAGTTTCTCCGTGGCCAGCGGGGGAGGGAGGAGGGTGCTTTTGAGCTTCCGTATCCCCCCCCCCCCGCCCAAGTGGGCTGCAGGAGGGGGAAAGCCCCTGCAAGAAATGGCTGGGGGGGGCCTGTGCTCCCCCGGGGCTCCTGGCTCCCTTCCTTGCCCGCTGCCAGTGGCCACAGAAGGCCTGTTCTTGACCTGACAGCGGGACCCTTTTGAGTCTCTCTGCTTCAGTGTTGCCCACCCCAGACTCCCAGCTCCCCCTTGGCCGCTTCCACAGGCGGGAAGAATCACTGGGCGCCTTTTCCTTGCTGCCCTGTGGCTCGCTCGGCTGCTCCCGGGACCTTCTGCGCTCTCACCTTTCTGGAAACGTTGGCGATAGAGCAGATAGAGGTGGGAAGGTGTGGACTTCCACCTCTCCACGCCCTTCCCCCCCCCCACCTCTTCTCTTTGCTGGCCTTTCTCCCACCACCACCCCCAGCAGGTTTTATGCTGTCAGCTTTAGGAGGAGGAGGAGGAGGAGGAGGAAGGACCTTGCTATATAGGGTGTGTTTTGTTTTGTTTTAAGCTGGCTGAAGGCCCACCGGCAGGCAGGGCAGGGGGCAGTGGAACGGTGGGAGGGGCTATGGAGGAAAGGGCAGAGAATCCCCCCCCCCCAGCAGAGGGAGGAACTGTCCTGCAGCAGCGGATAGGGCCCTTCTGTACTCCGGGGTGGCCCAGCTGTGGGGTCAGGAGGGGCAGCTGCCAGTCAGGGACTGGATTCTGGGTTCCATGGAGGGCACCCAGCTAACATAAGAACAAACAAAAGAGAACATAAGAGAAGCCAGTGTTGGATCAGGCCAGTGGCCCATCCAGACCAACACTCTGTGTCACACAGTGGCCAAAAAATACTAGGTGCCGTCAGGAGGTCCACCAGTGGGGCCAGGACACTAGAAGCCCTCCCACTGTTGACCCCAGCCAAGCACCAAGAAGACAGAGCTTCACTTGTCCCAGACCCAGAGTCCCTATCTATACTTTGTGGCTAATAGCCACTGATGGACCTCTGCTCCAGATGTTGATCCAATTCCCTCTTGAAGCCGTCCATGCTTGTAGCTCCCACCACCTCCTGTGGCAGTGAATTCCAAGTGTTAATCACTCTTTGGGTGAAGAAGTACTTCCTTTTATCCGTTCTAACCCAACCACTCAGCAATTTCATGGAGCGCCCACGAGTTCTTGTATCGTGAGAAAGGGAGAAAAGTACCTCTTTCTCTACCTGCTCTATCCCATGCATAATCTTGTAAACCTCGATCATGTCACCCCTCAGCCATCGTTTCTCCAGCTAAAGAGCCCTAAGCGCTTTAACCTTTCCGCATAGGGAAAGTGTTCCAACCCTTTTATCATTCTAGTTGCCCTTTTCTGCACTTTTCCCAAATCTATAATATCCTTTTTGAGGTGTGGTGACCAGAACTGTACACAGCACTCCAAATGAGGTTGCACCATCAATTTATACAGGGGCATTAGGATACTGGCTGATTTGTTTTCAGTTCCCTTCCTAATCACCACCAGCATAGCGTTGGCCTTTTTTACTGCAGTCGCACACTGTCCTGAAATTTTCAGTGAGTTATCTACTATGACTCCAAGATCTCTCTCTTAGTCAGTCTCTGCCAGTTGGGACTCCATCAACCTGCATTTATAGTTAACCTCTGAGGTGGGGCCGTTTCCTGGCACAAAAATGTCCTTGCTGTGCCTGGGGGCTCCTGGGAACACCCCTGGGTTGGGGCTGGCTCCAGAGAACTTTCTGGCAGGTGGAAGGGAGGGGGTGGGGGATCTTAGTGCAGTGCTAGAAGGTGCGCCTGGCGCTGACCTGTTCCCGTGTGCCAGGTCACCACAGCGTGAGCTGTGGGAGGGTCTACATTGTTCCAGGTTTTAGATTTGTCCCCCCCCCCTTTCTAAAATGCCAGAGACCTGCATTTGGGGAACCAGGAGAGGGAGGGAGGGGGAGTGTGGGCAGGGGAGGAACAAGCCGTTTGGTGTGCGGGGTGTGTGTGTCCCTGGCCTTCTGTGGGTGATGCCCCGCCCCTCCCTGCAGGAGCGCCAGCGGCTGGAGACCATCCTGAGCCTGTGTGCGGAGTACACCCGTGGCGATGGGAGTCCAGGCCCGGAGCAGCAAGTCTTTCCCGGCGCTGCCGAGGGGGGCAGGAGGCCCTCCAGGGGCTCCATCAGCCGCGGTGGTGGTGGCATGGAGCAGCCCCTGGAGCCCCAGCGCTCAGAGGAGGACCCCCTGAAGGAGGAGAGCAGCAGCACCGAGAGCGCTGGCCAGGAGGTGAGGTGTGAGGGGGGGCTCTGCCCTCAGCCGCCTGTGGGGAGCCCTCTGACTTGGGGGGGGGAGGGGACCCTGTGCTGAGGTGCTTGAGTCTCGACAGCAGGAGGAGCCACCGAAGAGCCCCACTGGCCGGGAGGCCATGCGTCTGGAGGAGGCACGCGCCCGGCTGCTCACCAACATCGACCAGCTCAAGAGCCGCGCCAAGGAGCTGGAGCAGCAGCTTCAAGAGACCGCTCGGGAGGTGAGGCGGGGAGCTGCCCCTCTCTCTGCCGAGGGGGAAGGATCAGGGCCCCCCCCCAAGATGGGAGGAGCCTCCCCCTGGCCACCTGAGAGAGCCAGTCTGGTGCAGTGGTTAAGTGCACGGACTCTAATCCGGGAGAACCTTCCCCACTCCCCCACTTGCACCTGGCTGATGTGACCTTGGGCAAGCCATCTGGCACAGCTGTCCTTGAAAAAGAGCAGTTCTCAGAAGAGCTCCCTCAGCCCCACCTGCCTCACAGGGGGGGTCTGTCTGTGGTGGGGAGGGGGAGGGAAATCAGATGGTGAGCCGCTCTGAGACTCCGAGTGAAGGGCCAGGGGTATAAATCCAATCTCATCTTCTTCTGGGCGCGTGGGGGGGGGGGGCCCGGCGGGGCTGTAGCGTGACACTCCTGCTGCTCCCTGCAGGTGGAGATGGAAGGAGACCTCCTGCAGGGGGAGCGCGAGGCCGAGCGGCTCCAGCTGCACCAGGAGCAGAAGATGATGCAGCAGCTGCAGGAACGGCGGTCTGGTCTGGACAGCTCCATCCTTCGAGACCGAGACCAGGTAACGGGAGG